CGCTCAGCGATAGAGGGGTTGGTTCCTGTATTTTTGAACTTTGGACAGATAGATGTTTCCAGTAACTGCCATGGATGGCAGTGAGTGGTAAAGAAAACTCTAGGATTTAAATGGTGCCCTCAGACTTCTTATTGTGGACACTATACCCTTAGTACAAAATAACTTCCCTGTCTTTTGATTGTATACTACCCCTCAGATTATTTAGCTTTGTTATGTTGCTGGTGGTGGTGATTCATCCAAACATGATTCTGGGCTTTAATAGAAACCGAGTCATGGGGTATTTCTCTCCCCGCCATGTTATCACTCCCCCTCCCTCCTCCAAATTATTTATTTAGTAAGGGTGAGAGACATAAAGGTAAAAGGCAAGACACCTTAAATAATTCAGTGAGGATCCAATACCAGAATGACAGGGCTGTTTTCCTGTTCACATCACTGATCAGACAATACCTGCAGCCGGGGTGGTTTAATAACGCTTCTGCTTTAAACCTCATGTTTAGATGAATGTGTCCACAAGATACAGTGGATTAATTTAATGAATAAAGATGACATGATGTCACATTGTCAACAGAGCAAATCCAGGCCGACAGACAAGACAGACCCAGCGTGTTGATTCTGAAATGAATCCTGAAACCTGAGTGTCACCTGGGCAGCTGACTCCCAGTCTGTAGAAGCTGGTGCTGGTATTTAACCACACACCGCCCCTCTCAATGTTAGATCATCTGGGGCACTTGCTGAGGTTCAGCATTTACTAAACGCCATGGAAAACTTTTGGATGTATCAAGTAGAAAAGCTTGAAGAGGAACAAGCCAAGCAGACGCAGCAGACCCACCAACATGATGGAGATGAGGTGTGGACAGTGGGATGAGTTTGTGATGATTTTTTTAGTTGGTGTATTAAGTAATGCTTCACATTTGCAGCAGTGGTGGAATCAGTTGTCTCATGAGTGTTTTGATGTGTGGAGAGTTCTGAAATGAGAGTCCAAAATTCCTAATTTAAAGCCTTTTTGTGGATTTATACATATATGTGGTTGTAGCTCATAATGGTTGCCCCCATCTTTTGATAGCAATATTGATAGATTGATGATGACATGAAGGAGTAAATGGTACACTATTTCATTATGAAATGTAGAAGAGTAGAAAGTAAAAGGTTGTATAAAATGGAAGTACCTCATAACTGTAGTGAAATACAGTACCTGAGGAAGTGTACTCCACTGGATGCTGACACATTTATGTTTGGAATTAATTACAGAGGATCATACAAGAAAAGTGATCTTTGCACATTTGTATACCTACAGGTGCTGAGTGAAAACTAACAACCTCAACAAAAATGAGCTCATTCTATTATTAGATGCTAATGTACTGTCATGTAGGGGAGAGAATTGTGTCATGATGCATTGTTTTTAGCCTACCGAATATATTTTAATTACCATCAAACATCAGGCGCTTGTTGTACAAGTGTGAAACATCTATCAATGATAAAAAGCAAATGTTTATTGTTTTAATTTTCTGAACTAATGAAGTGATCGCTGCCGACAAGCAGTGTTCACATGCCTGTCACAGCCCGGCTCTATGGCTGCGACAAAGATGGGACAGGAGAAAGAAACTATTTATTTGACAAAATGATATTAAACAAAGATAATAACGTGGAAATCAGTATCTATCATGTTAGTATATGTGTGTGTGTGTGTTTGGAAATGTTAGTAACAACACAAAAGAGCAAACAGCAGCTGCACCCGCGATGTGAGAGACCTTTATAGCTCCCAACCACACAGTATATTACTGGACGAAGCCACCCCACAGATTTGAATGGAGAACAGTGAAGCCAGTTTTAGACCAATAAAATACTACTACAGCGCTACTTCCTGTTGGCACTAGCATCTACTGCGCATGACCGCGCAGCATAAGCATGGTTTCATGATGTAGAGCAACAGCAGAAACACTGTAATTTTGGTAGCTGCATAGCTGCACTATGCTGCGCCAAAAAAAAGTCTCTTGGCTCAGTGTGTTTGTCTGACTCGGATCGTCACAGTTTAATCAGCCCACCTAAAAGGCTCATCTGCCAAACACATGGAACCCTCCATGCAGGCTTTGGTCGGCTTTCACCCTTGGGTAAGCCACAGTATTTATTTCAAGATTCCAATAATAAATAAATAATTTTTTTTTTTTAGTTTAACTGGACCATTTCTTTCAGGTAAATCAACATCTGCATAAAAAAGACTCCAAAAGTCTCTATTTAGTGCATGGTTCTTTACAGTAAACTTTAAAGGCACAATGTGTGAGATTTTAGTTTAAAATATTCAAAAATGAACTACTTGATCAACAGAATGTGAAGAAGTTACACTTCTGTCGTCATGTCATAGACATCTATGTATTGCGTTGCCAGCTAGCCCTGGCCCGTACTATGTTGTGAAGTTGACGTCATGCCGTGTTGAATTATGGGTTTTACACCGCCATGTTATGAGGCTCTGCCAGCCTTCCTTTTATGCACACACTGTCAGACTAACTAAAAAACAGTCTCCATTCATTTCTGCTCAACTTAACCAAAACTAAATATATCTGCCATCTAAAACTAGAAAAACCCGCTTTTTCTAACAGTCAAAGATTATGACAGATCTTTTTTTTTTACAATAATGTGACCAATCAAACCCACTGCCAGTGACTCAATAAAATAACATAGCTGAATGTTTTGGAAAGTTTTGCATTTTGAAAGAGGAAAAAAGAGGACTGCTATCTTGTCTTGTAGCTCGTTCTTCATTTCACACACTTACAGCTGCCATTAGCTTATCTGCTAGCCATGCCTGCATGGCTGATGTTGTGCTCTATATCTCTGGTTGACATCTAAATTCACAGAGGTAAAACACTGAACTACTGGCTGCCCTGGTTTTGGCAATACAAAGTGTAGTGATTCATGTGGCTTAGAAGGCATTATGATTAATGATTAAAGTGAATTACCTTCATTTTGGCAAGAGGAGGTTGCAGATTCACACTCACATCCAGGTACCAGAAGGTCACATTACACATTAAAGGTCCAGTGTGTAATATTTCTGAGGATCTATTGACTGAAATGCAATATAACATCTATAACTACATTTCCAGTGGTGTATAAAGACCTTGCATCTCTTCTTATCTCAATGACCGTATATTTTATTTTTTGGCAATGAATGATTGATAAAAGCATGAATGCAATTTTAAATACAGATGAAACAATTAATAATGCATGAAAAACAGTGTGTAACGCATGGAAACAGGAGACAGTGGAGGTTAATCAGTGAAGAACCATTCAGCGGGTGAGGTTTTGGTAGCAGAGAGAAATACTTCACGGTTCTGTATCATGATTATATTGAAGGGAGGTCCTATTCCTGACCTAACGCTAAATTACTTTTAGTAAGTTTCACCTGGTTTTTCAGACGGCCAGTGGACATATTGAACTAGAATGGAAAATACAATAATAACTTTGTCCGTTTTAAGGACTAAAGTTGACAAAAACTCTGCAAATTCAAATAAGAATTCATAGTACGGGCCAGGTGCTCGGTACACTATAACAAAAATAATTGGTTGCAGTGATTTCCAACTTGGGTGTGAAAGACTAAGAACAAGACTTTCAAATGAGTTATAGTTTAGTTTAGGTTTAGAGCTGATTAGTAGGCTAGAGTCGAAGAATGCTGCAACTCCACCTCCTCGGCCTGTGCCTCGAGGAATGTGAGTATTAATATGACTGGGAGGGGTGGATTCCTTTAGGCTAACATATTCTCCATCACCCAGCCAGGTTTCAGTAAGACCAAATAAATCAATATCATAATCTGATATTAGTTCATTTACTAGTACACCTTTAGAAGAGAGAGATCTGATGTTTAAGAGTCCACATTTAACTCTCCTATTCGTTTGCACTATTGCAATTTATTTGCAATTTTTATGAGGTTTTTATGCACAGCTCCTCTTCTGTTTACCTTTGATTTAAATAATTTCGATGGTCGGGGGGCAGACACCGTCACTATAGGATTTTCACTAAGTAACTCCTGAAATGGAGGAGCAGAGAAGTGTGTTAGACTGCGACTCTGCGTAGGGTTTTGGGTGGGTAACTGCTGAAAAAGAAGGGCAGAGAAGTGTGTTAGACTGCGACTCTGCCTCCTGGTCTCAACTCTGGGTTGTCATGGATTTGGTCCACTAATAAACTTGGCCAGATTTCTAGAAATGACAGCTGCTCCTTCCCAAGTGGGATGGATGCCGTCTCTCCGGATCAGACCAGGTCTTCCCCAGAAAGTCTGCCAATGATCTACAAAGCCCACATCGTTTGCTGGACACCACCTCGACAACCAGCGGCGGAATGACGACATTCGGCTATACATGTCATCACTGGTCAGATTTGGCAGCGGTCCTGACTTAAGTCTATGAGGACCACAAAGCTCAAATTATATGTTTTTTTTATCCATGGGGTGTACAGTACATTTCATCATCTGCCCATGTCCACAAGAATCCCTAGAGTCCTATGTGCAGACATCCCTGTTCAGCCCAAAATGTATACTCTGTGTAGTATCTCCAGAACCTTTTGGAGTACACAGGACCCTTACTCACCAATGGATGGCATCCTCAGAAAGCTAGTCTGTGATGTTTCAACATTTTCTCTCAGCCTTAGTGTCTCCTTAATGGAAGACTGATTCTCAAACTCTCACACATCATGTTTTAGTCACACTATTTGGCTTCACATTTGTAGTGACCAGTAGAGTGAGAAACCTAACCTGTTTAACTTCAACAGGATGCAACGGAAAGTTTACCATTGAGAATGTTGTACTGCAGAGGTACATTCATTTGGTGTTCATTTGGCAACACCAGGTACATTTGTGTTAATGTGGTGCTAGGTTCTGAGTTAAGGATTTCATCTGACAGATTGTGTGTGTGTGTGTGTGTGTGTGTGTGTGTGTGTGTGTGTGTGTGTGTGTGTGTGTGTGTGTGTGTGTGTGTGTGTGTGTGTGTGTGTGTGTCCCACTCCTTATACTCTCCCAGCAGTCTCCTGGTTCAGGCTCGCCATCTCCTCCAGGAGCAGAGTCATCCAGCAGACATCTGCTGCAGGATGACAACTTTGAATCTTCTCCCTCCAGTAAAGAGGTGAGTTCAACATTTTACTATTCATTAGATAGTAACTGAACTGTCTGGTTTTCACTTCTGCAAGTTGAAGTAATGGAAAAAATCTTTCTCCTCTCTTTTTACTAACAGTCCAGGAGAAGCCTTGCATCATTCCCCACATACGTAGAAGGTGAGTGCTTCCTCCTCTGGTGCGGAGGTTTTCTAAGTGTGGAGAGTTGAAGGGGTGTTGCAAAGGGAGGTGAAAGGGACAGGTGTAAGCCAGTAGGCCTAGTTTGGAAAAAAGTAGGAATTTCCTTTTTATGTTTTTGCCTCTGCTCAAACAATCAACCTGGTGAAATATGGAAAGCAGACGGACTGTTCGGAATGAACATGGAGATTCCGGTGAAGGAACTGGACCTGGAATCAAAGCTGCAGGTAGTGGGATGGCAGACACCCTGTTCCACGATGATGAGAATGCCAAACAGTGAACTGATGGTTGGAGTAAAGGCACTATTTGACTCTTGATTGACATGAAAGACCAAAGGAATAATTCATAGTTTTCACATGACGTCACACTCCAAAGAAAACGCTCCCTTGGAGGGCAAAAAGACGTTATTTTCCGCTGCCTGCCAACCAATATGCAAATGATAAACTGAGTTTGTTACTTTTTGCGCTTCCAAAATGCTGGATGATTGTTGGGCTTTTGGATTTACTAATCGAGGAGACAAGCTGTGTTAGGTGAGGGATTCCCCAGAAGGTAAACGTAAACATACCGCAGTCGAGCGGCGGCAGGTAGGCCTACCTGGCGGTTTTTAACGGTAGAAATGCAGCAGCGGATGCTGTAACATTATACGGATCAGATATGATCCGATCAGGGGCGGCTGTGGCTCAGGAGGTAGAGTGGGTTGGCCGTTAATCGGAAGGTCGGCGGTTTAATCCCCGGCTCCCCCTGGTTGTCGAAGTGTCCTTGGGCAAGAAACTGAACCCCAAATTGCCCCTGGTGGCTGTTCCGCCAGTGTATGAGTGAGTGTGAATGTTAGTTTCCGTTTGAGCACTTAGGCTCAGTGTATGACTGGTGAATGCAGATGTAGTGTAAAAGCGCTTTGAGTGGTCGAAAAGACTAGAAAGGCGCTATACAAGTACGGAGCATTTAGATATGCCCAACACTTGCAGTTTGTGTTCATATCTTTCTTTTTCTTAAGTTGAAAGGTCCAAATAAAATTTGACTGCTTTTGCGGCGTCTCTACGGGAGAGTTGCGGTGTGAGCCGCTATGTTGGTCTGTTGTTTTGCCCTCCAGGTCACTGCGTATGTCACGTGACTGAAAACGATGAATAGGGTGCAAGATTGTTGTATCTCAGAAAAGTCAAAATAAATCACCTTGTTCTGCAATGGATATGAAGTAGTTTGGAACTTAACTCAAAAGATTAGACTGTATTTACAGAGCATAGCTTGCCTTTGAATATGATGTTGACCTTGGATGTCATGTAACATTATCAGTGAAAGCTGTAATTATTACAGCTTTGATCTATTTGAAAGACTTAATTAATTAATTTAAATCGTATAACTTGTACATTTTAATAGTATTAGTATGAATAAATGAGTACATTTAAAAATATGTTTATAATAATAGCCTTCTCTGACACATGCTTAAATCAAGAGAAATGTTTGGATTTTCACGTGGAGGGCTACAAACTACATTATCTGAACAAAACAATGTAGCATGAACACATTAATAATGGCATCAAAATACGTAATATGAATAAGTGGCACTAAAGGGCACCAAAATATGTGAGAGAAGTAGAGCGATTGCACTCAATTCTGTCTGTTGGAAAAGATCAGTATTTATACTGAGTATCATTAATTAACTTGCATTAAATTCACCTCCGGGCACCACCCTTAGAAAAGAGAAAATGATAGGCAATTAGTTAATTGAGTCTCAGTCTGAAGGTTGCGTAAGCCCTTGACCCCAAAACAGTGACCATAATACCAACACGACTTCATTCCTAAATGACAATTGTTTGCCAATGACTCCCAAAACATTGTATACTGTTGGAGAGTACCAGCGACAGGCATACCATTGCTTGCACCCATGAACTATACAGCCGTATTTTGGGGGAGGATGGTCTGTAATCAACTTCTGTATCAATGAATGGTTTATATACATACAAACTACACACACAAACTGAGCATGGCGTAAGTTCAGCCAGGCAGAGAAGTCAAGCTCAACTCACAATCCCAGCACATCAGCTGATAGCAGCCCATCTCTAAGCCAGCCACATCAGCTGACAGATCAGCAGATTCCCCTCTTAGCATTCATTATCATATTCCATACAAGGTGCCTTAATTAAGCTGATTTAGTCTGCCTACCTTTGTTGCTTCCTCTGCTAGCAGCTTGTAACCCGCCGCCACCCAGCTCCTCCTTTCAGGCTGTGTCTGATTAATCATATAATTCCAGTTGTATTGATGAGTGTTCTGTTCTGTACCCTGGAGGGGGGGCTGCTCTCTTCCTTGGACTTTCCATGTATAAGTCCCAGAACAGAGCCATACCGCCAAACATGACTTACTGCTGAATGAACAAGTGCACACAATTTTATAATTTATTTATTTATTTTTTAATTTTATTTATTCAGGGGAGCTTCACTGAGAGGAAGTCTCTCTTTTGTAGGAAGGCCCTGATCACATTCACACCTGGAAGCTGCCCAGTACAACCGCAGCCTCGTCTGCTGGCCACTAAGCAGCTCCACTGGAGCTGTTGGGGTTATGGGCCTTGCTCAAGGGCACCTCAGTGGTGGTAAATGAGGGAGGGCAAGCACTGCTTGGTTTACTTTCCACATCTGCGCGACAGGTGCTGTTAGAGCAGCGTAAGTAAGGTCTTTTAGAAACAGGGTTGTGCCTAATGTTTGTGCACAAGTGTGTGGGTGTGTGAATGAGCGAGCATCAGAAAGTGACAGTGAAAGTCAAGAGGAAAAGATTAGCAGTTGGCAGCAAGTTGTCAGTCAGAAAGTAAATGTGTAGTGTAAGTCACAGTAGGCCCGTTAACGCCAGACCATTCAATTATATTTCAGTTTTGTGGCTGTTAGGAAAAGAAAGGACAGTGGTGACCATTTAGTAGGTTAATAAAGCAAGTTAGGGATGCAAACTAGTCATTTTAAGCTAATGAGGATGTTGTCATGTTGCCTATTTTATGTGTTACTTTCTACAAATAAATGTAAAACTTTGCAAAAGGCCAAACTTAGGGGGCACAGCGATCATGGCCCTCATGACCCCATGAAATTCCTGTCCTTATCACAAATTAACATGTGTACATTTTAACATTTACCTGACTAAAAATCCTCAAATAAACTATTGCTCTGTAGAAAGTCACACAGCTGTTTAGCAACTGCTTTCTCCAGAACCTTAGAGAGAAATGGAAGGTTAGATATAGGTCTATAGTTGGCTAAAACATCCAGATCAAGTTTGGGCTTTTTCAGAAGAGGTTTTTTTTTTTCCTTTTTTTTTTTTAAACCTGTCCTGCCCAGCAGCCTGGTATAGAGTATAATGACCTGGATACCATATTGTGCCAGACAGATTTTACTTTAACAAGAGAGTATTAAAATACTCCTTTGTCTGTTTTATTATTATTTAATTATGTATTGATTTGTCACCGGGCCGGACAGGGGGGCAGACACGGGGATGGGGGGGCACAAACAGACAGCACAGAGAAAGGACAACACCTGCAAGAGAAGGGGGAAAGGGGGATGGAGGGTGGGGACAACAGGGAAAAGCTGTGGGAAACACCAATTGCAGAAAGCAACGAAACCTGCAAGAGAACAGAGAGGGGGGCTTGGGGAGGAGAAAAACAACAACAAACAAACACAAACAAAAAAAACAATAAAAATAATAATAATAGTAAAAGACAACCAGCCGAACAGCAGCAATAAACAGCTGACATATTAATGACATATTAAGACAACTAAGAGAACAATGAAAACAAGAAACAGTCACACACACTAAATAAGCAACACAACACAGCCACGAGAGCTGGAATAATAATTAATTTAAATAAGTAACTGAAAGAAAGGCATCAGGAATAGTTCTACCAGGGACAACCTAAGTTTGTTTGTGTCTGTGTGTGTCTGTGTGCGTGTGGGTGAATGTGTCTGTATGTGTGTGTGTACATGTGTGTGCGCATAAGCCTGTTAAAGAATGTAGTTGTTAGAGAGAGTGGGACGCCACGACTGTAACAGGCAGGCAAGAACCCCAGTAGCCAATAGGGGTGGAAGAAAGAAAAAGAATAAATCAAATCAAAAAAAAACAAAGACTCCCAGATGCACCGCGATGCAAACGCAGAAGACCCCGACCCAAATGCCAGTTGACTACGTAATGCCGACGGAACGCAAAAGAGGAAGAGCAGATAGACCAGTGGCCCCCCCCATCCAGCACCCCACCGCCGCGCAGCAAACAACCACAATGCCCAAATGCCACGCAATCATCAACACCAATGCACAAGTGACGAGCCCAACGCGCACACTGCGCGAGCACGGCGACACCCATGCCCAGCAGCCCCCCGCGAATCCCAAGTGCGAGGTCGGGCAAATGAGAGAGAGCAAACGGAACAACACGACAGCGAAAGCCAGCGGAGAGAAACACCAGCAGCAAGTCCCAGCCCGGCAGCAAACGCGCCGCACAGGTCACCGTGCACCCGCCAATAAAAGTCCACCGTCCCCCCAACCGCCGGAAAAAACTAAGGCCGCCGGCGCCAGCCGACATCCCCCATGCCCAGCGCGCCCCCCGGCCGCCATGCAACACCAGCCAAACCAGCAACGAGGCAAAATCAACTAGCTCAGCTGCATGCCACCAACAACCCACCCATCCATCAAGGGCCGAGAACTCCAGGCACAAACCCAGAACAAACCGGAGCACAGCCCGAAAACTAACTATATACCTCAGTATCCAGAGGGGTCCAACAACTGGCCGACAGAGAAATGGGCAAGCACGGATCCGAGGCCAACGAAGCAAAACAGGAACGCAAACAGGTCCCTCCAAGCCAACGAGGAGATGCCTCCCCCGGACTCCAATGCACAAACTAAACGCCCAGCAGCCATCCAGAGACCCTGCCCAGGGAAAAAGTATAATGCATCAAGATGCATCGACAATCGCCCCCACAATCCCACCGCAGACCCCCACCCCCAGAAGCCAGGACACCCTGC